CAGTATTTCCAATTTCTCCACCGACATAAAAAAAAATTCTTAACTGGTGAAAACAAATTAAAAACGTAACTGCATTCAAATAATTTTCACGACAAGGATATCAAGTACAACACAGTAGATGACTGGCGGACCTTGCTCCTGCAACGTCATCTCTCTCATCACAGCCCTATCTTGGTGTGCTGGCTTTGGCTGGGGTAGAGTTCATTTTCCTCATAGTAGCTGGTACGGGGCTGTGTTTGGGATTTGCGCTGAAAAGTGTTGGTAACACAAAGGTGTTTTCGCTACTGCTGAGCAGTGCTTACACTTTCCCACCCCACCAGTGAGGAGGCTGGGAGTGCACAAGGAGTTGGGAGGGGACAGAGCCAGGAAAGCTGACCCCAACTGACCCAAGGGATATCACACAGCATATGGAATCTACTCAGCATATAAAGCTGGAGGAAGAAGAAGGAAAGAGGGGATGTTCAAAGTGATGGTGTTTGTCTTCCCAAGTCACCGTTACGCATGATGGAGTCCGGCTTTCCTGGAGGTGGCTGCCTGCCCATTGCATGTGGTGAATGAATTCTTTGGTTTGCTTTGCTTGCATGTGTGGATTCTGCTTTACCTGCTAAGCTGTCTTTGTCTCAACCCACAAGTTTTCTCACTTTTACCCTTTTGATTCTCTCCCCCATCCCACTATAGGGAGTGAGCCAGTGGCTGTGAGGGGCTTAATTGCCAGCTGAGGTTAAACCACAACACTTGGCCATTTTAAAATCATGCAGATGCTTTTTAGAACTGGCAAGTGCACTTAAGCACAGAGCAGTTACACATTAAATGGTAACTGTTAAAGATCAACCAATGATTTCTTTTAAACTTTGCTCCAAAACCTCAGCTTTTTACAAAGATAGTGGAGGCTGTATCAGTGATTCACTGGCTTATCACTCAACCAGGAAATTCCCTCATTGCCAAGTTAACAAAAGGAATGCAATTACATATTAACTATTAACTGAAGTCCAATTTCAGAGAATGCTATAAATTGCTTGGGAATCAGGTAAGATTAACAGAAAACCTAGCAGAAATGGAACTTCACTGAGTTTTTTTATGATCTCACAAAGGTTTTCTGTTTGTTTCTTTCTTTCTTTCACAGGAAAAAAAATCACCTTTCTAATCTATGTATCAGACAGGAAGAGCTGGGCATTGTGAATCTTAAATGTGAGATTTGTGACTAAGTGCTCTTTAAGCCCACCCCCTTTATCCTTTACACCAAACCTAAGACGCCAAAGTTCAGATATTTTTTTCTGATGAGAATTTGGTTTGATGAATATTATACAAATGACATATTGAGTATAAATATTCAGCGTTCTGGAAATTCAGGCCCTCACTGAGCTAAATGTTAACACCAGCATTTCTTGTAAGATGAAGCCTTCAACTCTACACAGTACTGCAATAGTTTTATATTGACATAGCAGTCATTAAGCCAAACTCTGCCTGCCAGCACAGAAATTTGATACAACCTGCCTGAAGTGCCTCTCACTCATTCACACAGTACACACACTGCCTTCATTGTATAGATCACAGTATAGATAGATCCCACAGTCACATCCAGACTCTGTGAGCAAGGAGACGTTCAGTTCTCAGTTTTAGTTCAAATGGCCATCCCTCCTCCAGCAGAACTGCAATGCCATGAACTGAAGGACTGCTGGAATGCAACTCCTGCAGATGTATCAAGCCAATGACAGGGCTTGATACAAGGTGCTGGGAGATTGAACATTGAATCCAGCTGGGGTTCAGCCACAGCTTACACTTGTGCCATTTATGAATTACAAATCAAGTCTGGGTGCTCAAGGCAATGCAGGTACCCTCAGTCAAGGTGACCTACTTGGAGTAGAGTAACCCAAACTAGATACTACAGTGAAAATAAATCTGTAGACACTGTAGAAAGCTAGCAATTGCAAATAAAATTAGACAGCTGAACAGTGTATTGAAGAGGTATAAATATAAAGGACAAGGTTCAAAACCCCAGTGGCAAAATCCTGAACTCCTAACCATCTGACATTATTATACTAGATCCTAAGAAGTACAGATCTTAAGAATCTCTCCTCCCCTCTAGAGACACCCTCCATTGATGTGATCCAGCTGTGCAGTCTTCTGAGTTCCAGCCAAGGTCCAGAGCCTGTGCAAGCAGCAGGCATTTGGTGTGAACTGAAGCAACTCGTGAAGAATGAGCCTGGGTCGCAAGCAATTCAAGAATGATATGGAAGGAATAACTGTGTCTAGCAAGCCTGTCCCAAAGATAAGGATGTGTTGTCCTCACTTAACACTGCCAAATCCAGAACTGTTTTAAGCAGACACATGTGACTTGAATCCCACAGGTACTTGGTTCAGATGATCCCTGCCTTTTTCCTGTTATTGCAAACACCAGTGTAACTTGCACAAGGAATTAGGCTGTGTAGGCAGCCTGTAGGATTGTTACACAGAGTCACTCCTAACGATACATCACTCTAAAGAATGCAAATTTCTACTTACTACAACCAGCCTTTCCCAAAATCAGTATTTTTGCCACACATATTACTTCTACAAACAAGAACATCACACATCCCCAAACCAATGGATCCGTATCCCACATATGATTTTAAATCATGAGTTCTCACGATGCCTAACAATGTACAAGGGAATAATAAGCTTAAGTTTCTAAAGGAAGAGCTTATTATAAATCACCTTCTCCACAACTGTCACCCCCCTCACACTCACCTGCAGTCTCAGTGCACACACAGAATTAAAGTGAGTCAAGTGCAGTGCCTACGGAGAAAGGCAACCCCCCAGTCCATCACTTAATGTTCATTCTAAGACCCATTTTGTTGTTCTGCACGTTTGTTTAAAAGTAAACGTTGCCTTAGATCCCAACCCTTCTGTGTAGAGGCCACCTGACAAATAAACTTCCCACTGTGGTTCTCACTCAGTCTTAGAAAGGTTTGTTGTGTATGTTCTTTATGTCCCAAATAACACAGCCCTCCATTGCTAAAAGCTGTGTCAGTCTTCTCCACCCAATCATTCCTTTAAAAGCTTTTCTCTGGAATTTGTCTTCCTCACTGTGGTTTAAAACACAGTGTATGGGATTCAACAAAATGAAACAACTTGCAGTACCTTCTGGCATTTATCTTTTACCTTCCAGTTTATTCCATAATATGCATTATTACATTCATTATCTCTGCATCCTCTGGGTTTCTGACTTAATCCACAAGCGCTGTACTGCTAGAGCGTTTCTCATTTCAAAAACCTGGTATGAAATCGTGATACCACGCAAATACTTTGTAAAGTGTGCATTTCTGATAACTTTACACGCAGCTCTGCATCACTGAGCATCTTCTCAGCAGAGCCCCAGCAGCGCCCTGAGCCCCAAGCTCGGCAGCACCGACACAGCTCCGACGAGCTCCGCGCCCCTTCCCAACTTCACACACAGCCGCCTCCCCGCAGCGACTTCACCTGCACCCTCCCCTTCCTCTCCCCCGAACCGCTCCACACCCACACATTTCTCTCAGCGTCTCTCCGATCCCACCCTTCCCCTCCCCAGCCTGCTCCCACAGACCCGCTTCCCGCCCCATCCACCGACCCCAAACGCCTCCTCCTCGCGCAGCACAGGCCTCCCTCGGTCGCTCCCTCCCGCACGGCCCCGCTCTCCGCGGGGCGGCCCCGGCCGGGCTCTGCTCCCACCTGCGCCCGCCGGGCCCCACTCGCCCCTCGCCGCCGGCCCGGCCCGGCTCCCTCAGCTCCGGGGCTTCCGGGCGCCGCGGTCCCGTCCCGCAAAGGCTCCGGCTGCAGCCGAGCCCCGCCCGCTCCGTTCCCAGGGCCGCGGCGGCAGCGCGCCCCGCCCGGGCCGAGCCAGGCGGGAGCGGTGGGGCCGGACCGGGCCCCGGGCAGGGCATCGCTGGGCCCCGCGGGGCGGGGGAGATGAGCCCTGAGCTGGAGCCTCTGCCACCTCCCAGTGAGCGCCCCGAGGGCCGGGTCCCGCCGGCACATAAAGGGGCACTTGTGACACGAGCGTCTGGTGTGACACCCCAGACGGATTTGTAAGAGGGGCAAGGCTGGCTCGGATGCGGGTGCGGACCTGCCATAGAGAACGGCACTGCGCTGGGCAGAGAAGCGAATTGGCCACCAAATTTTGAAGATCATATTTAGGCAAAACTTTATGCTTAAATTAGGGGTTGATTTCCCGATGGTTGGCAAAGGACAGTGTAGCACATCAAAACTGGGTGAAATCCAGGCCCCGCAGAACTGAACGGAAACCTGTCCCACCAATTACAATAGTAAACCATGGGAGACAAGCACACTACTAATAAAGGCAATTTTAATAGTATGTATGTGTTTTATAAGACGTTCATTAGAAGTATGCTTTAGGAGAATGCACTTTGTTAACACCAAACAGAAGGCTCTGGCAGCTCCAAAAGAGTTTGCTTCAGTGTGGAACTGCTCCTGAACTCAAAAATGGGCCATGGTCTTTCAGTGACCACATTGACTGTACCTGCTTGCAGATGTCAGCATCATTCTTGAAATTAAACTGTCAGATATTTCAGTTATCACAGGTTAGACTAAATACTTGAAAAAAGGAGCCAAGATCTTGTCAGTTTTATGAATTTAATTAATTTTCCGTTCCTTCCCAAGGGAAAAGGCCCTGGTTTTCAGCAGCTTTAGACTATCAGCCTAATCTGGGTTATATTTGCCTCGTATGCCTCTCTGCAGAACTCTAGACATTTGCCATTGGTTTGAACAGAGTTCAGCATTTCTTTGCTCTGAGCTGTTACGCTTTTTTAATGAATAAACTTTAGTTAACTCCCCAAAATTTCAGTCCCATGGAGTACTTTTTTTTTTTGCTTTGCAGTTCTCCCTATTGAACTCACATCTGATTACAATAGACTAAAACCAATACTCTGATACTATTTTAGTGTCTTTTGTTCTGTCCCATGGAGAACTGCTTATCAGATGTGTATGCTGGCCTTATTTTATGTGATGATAACCAGGCACAGTGCTCAGCTCGCATCTATAACTATTTATTTGACCTCGTCCACTTTGGTTAATAACCAAATACTTTCTAAGCGTTCATTTGTCACACCAATCATTTCAGGCAGGTGTTCATTGCATTCCCTATCAGAAATAAAAATAAATCATATAGGTAGGGTACAATATGTTCTCTTAAAATGATGCCTAAAACACTGACAAAACTAATGATATCTACTAATGACTAAAACCAGAGGTAAACTAATGAGAGGCATGACATATCAGCTAGACATGCAACATAACAGCCAAGTAGCATCTGACAATTTGACCTAAGGGTATTTTTTTCTTACATTAAGTAATTACTCTAATAATATGGAATATAATCCATGTTTAGGTTGTCAAACAGCTCTTTGGAGGTTCATATAGACCATTTTGATGTAGCAGCAGAGAGAGCAAAGGCACTCAAAACACTGAATAACATCAGGAGTCGGGGAGTGGAGTGTTTCCCAGCAGAGCTCTATAAAAAAACAGAGAAATTTGATAAACCCATTTCAAAATAGTTCTATTTATCACTATTATAAATGCATAGAAAGTTTCAGAGAAATCTTTTCCTATTGGCCCCTTCTATTATGTAGACACTTTTGATATTAAAAAGATCATGTGTCACATCCATAGTGCCCGTAAATCAACAGGTGTTGTTTTCAAGTGATAGGCAGAGACAAACGTGGAAAACACCTGTGTGGTCCCACTTCTCTTCATTTTTGTCGATACTATTTCCATTTATTATGTTGCACGTCTTCTCAAATGGTTATTCAGATACAGGAAATGTGATAGATACCTCACAGTATAAACAACAGTTTCAGTTTTCTATGATAGGTATAGGAAGAAACCAGTAGAGCCTACAAAGAAGAAAAGTGCTTACCACTTGACTGCCTCCAGAGGAAGGTGACTGCTGAAAACAAACAAACAAACAAATAAATCTACAATTGTTCCCACACAATGGTTTTGAAAACAGTTTTTGTCTGCAAAAGTTTTGAATACCTTAACCCACAGCATGGGTTTAATTTGTTCAAGAGGAAAATTGCTTTGCAATGATAAAGCAAATAGTTTTAATTATGTACTCTGTCTCATAGTACATCTGAAAATTTCAGCTAAAATTGATGGAAAGACAAAAGTCTATTTTTCTCTCATTCCATTATCATATTTGATACAGTTTTCCATCTCTATAATTGAAAGAGGACGTTAAAAATTGATGAGTACTGAAAACAAAAAAAAAAGTGTGAAACCAGGTAACCTGCCAGCGAAAAACTCAAGAGTCTAGCTTATTTAAAAAAAAAAAGTGAAGGATTAACTGAGCACAGCCTATAAAATCTACACTAAGAACAAGAATTTAAAAAACAGAGGACAGAAAAATGTAACAAAGCCCCTAACTGAAATCTGAAACAAGACAGATTTAGATTTAAAATATAACTGACACTGAAATTGCTTTCCCAGGCTGAGGCCGTATTTTCCACAGTGGTTTCTTTAAATATGCACTAATATAAATGGAACTAATACAGAATGTTCTCTTAAGACCAAATCATCCCAAAATTGCTCTACCTACCACCCAGGTTTCTTTGTTTACTAAGAAAAGTAGATGAAAAAGCTGTGATGAAAGTATTCTTACCTGTTTTCCAGAGTAAGTGCTTCCTGAGCTAGAGCCACCCTGTAAAATAATTATAAACCATTTAATTTTGTAGTATGAAACTCCAAGTGAACAGTGTCCAAAGAGCACACAGCAGTCTTGAAAATGCCCTGGATAGTATTAGATTTGATATTGACTTTGATTTTACCATTTTAGTTGCACTTTCCCCCCCTATTTTAATTGAATGGTCTCAAGAAAGCACAGCTATGTCCTCTTTATTCCATGAACAGTTTCAGAGGAATGTGTCAAAGCAATGTGCCACTGACTGAACTGCAGAGTTTGAAACTGAAACAGTTACCCTGATATTTAAATACATCATTCTTATTAGAATGGTCCAAAAATACTCCTATGAGTAAGTGACAGAGTATATAAAAACTTTGCTATGGGAGGAATAAACGCTGCCTCATCCTAAGGTTCAAGTTTGAACAAAATATTCCATTTTTTTGGTAATTTTTTTCGGTAATTTTTTTCAGACATTTACCACTGTAACGTAATTTTAAATTTCACCCTCATTACTGTTATCTATTTTAAAAACCAATATCCACATTTCTAACTTGGTTGCAGAATACTGAAAGAAGAATATCCTTACTGGCTTTCCTTGATGACTGCTTCCTGAGGAAGATGAACCCTGAAAAAAGACACCTGTTTTTGACTCTAAGTCTATTTGCACTTATATGTTCTCACTGTCTGGAATAAAGGACCACAGGAGAATGAACACTGTCTTGTGTCCAGTCCTCTAAAAACCCCAGGGAAAACCTTATCTGAAATACAAATATTTAACATCTTTTTGGTACAAGTATTCTTTCAAATTATGTATTGGAAATTTTGATACAATGTTCTCAAGAAGAAAGAACTGTTTTGTAGTTGTGATGTGTTTAATATATAGAATGGAAAAAATAATAAGGTCTAATGAAACATTAATTCGCCTGGTATCAATCTATGTTTACATTTGGGGGAAAAAAAGACACCACCACCAAAAAATGCAAATGTTAGACTCCTTCACTCTACAGCCCCTGTTTGAAGAAAGCTCTAATAAGAAAGGTAACTCTAAAAAAAATGGATATAGAAAAATAAAACATCCAGCTTTCTAGGAAGGTGGCTCTGCTCATTTGAATGGCATTGCCAATAGGAAATGTTACAAGCATTGACTCCTTAATGGACATCAAATACAGGACACAAAGTGTCTCACCTTTATGATTCATGTATTAGGAAAGGTAACATTTATGCCCACTTTTTAATAACAGGTACACCTTCTTTTCTATAAGAGATAAGCTAAAAGATTGTGTGTGCTTATTGGTATCTCCTGCCATTGAAGGACAAGAGCAAGGTCCAAATTACATAGTAAAAACAGTAGTCTGAAATGGGAGAAGTTGAAAATATGCACAGTTAAATGGCAACTATTGTGTCCTTCAAAAAGAAAAAGTAAGTATTTTCTTCAAAGTAAGCCAGAAATACTTAAGACAAATGCATTTAAAATCAATGAAAAACTGACCCCTGAGGATGAAGCGTATGATTATTATGAATTTAAACACAAATAACTATTCAGAAGTTCGTTAAACAAACAAACAAATTAAAAATAAAATCCTGTGATCTCATTCTGTGATTACCACAAGTTCAGTTACATAGTAAAATGCTGTCTCTAAACAATGGAACTGTGTGAAAATAAATATTGTGTTTGCATTTGTTGAGATTATCCTAGATAACTAAATCATGTGAAACTCTTTGCATATTGAAGTAATTCTCAGAAAACTGTCTGGTCCATAACTAACTAGATACAGGTTTTTTAACAGGTGAGTAAGAAAAAAGGAAGGTAAATTTGAATTTTTTGACTTACTGGTTTACCATGTTGTCTGCCTCCAGAAGAATATGAGCCCTGTAAGAAGTCAATGCAACATCTATTAATTGAAAGGAAAATCTTCTGTCACTGTCTTGAGACAATTTGTGCAGTACTTAGAACAAACTTATGTGGATGTTGTTTGAACAAAAACAGTAAATGGGGTACCTAAAGCTTCATCTCTGTACTGCACACTGAACCAGTGGCAATTTGAACCAAGAGAGCAGTGTTATGAAATACAGTTTGGTGGTTATAGTACATTCAAAGGAATGTTTTACACAGAGCAGTAATTCATTGGAACCAAATCTCTTATTCACCTTGCTGAAACGACCAATTGGTATTACCTCAACCATTTAGGCTTTATAAAATGGGCAAATTAATGTATCTTTCAGCATCAAGTAACTGACCTGATCTAGAAAGTATGTTAGGAAAAAGCTAGGAGTGATGGGATGGAAAGATAATATACTCACCGGCCCACCATACTGGCTGCTTCCTGAGGGATAAGAACCCTATTAAAAAGAATATGAGAATTTAACAGCAGTTACTTTTTTTTTCTATGCAGAATGAAACATCACAGAATGACTTTTAACAGGAGATCTCTGTAACAATCTGGAAAGTATATTAATCTAAAAAGATGCAGTGAAAGACTTTTGACTTAATGCCTGTAAGTTCCTTAACAGCTGAAAGTACTAAATTGGGCAAACAGTCACAAGCCACCTGCTAAGACTGTTCTGTTACATAAATAAATGGATCTAAAGTGTCTTACATATGGCTTTCAAGAGAAAAAAATCTACTTTATTTGTGATTTTCTGCTACATCAGATGTGTTCAGAGAGCATCATGTGTATTATTGTAAAAATATACTTATGATTCCAAATAGGTAATTTGGGAAAAAGACTGATTTGCAGCTGTTAAAAATCCTCTCCATGCTACAAGAGATTATCTTCTTTTTAGAGTGATACTGAACTCAACTGCTTGGCAATGGAGTGAAAAGAAATTATTTTTTTAAGTATAGCAGAGTGAAACATTGCAAACACAATAATACTAATGAAAAATATGCTCCATCTTATTAGACAGCCATCCATTACATCTGTCAATTACTTGCATTAGTAGGATTTCAGAATCAGTTACAAACTACTAAGTCTAGAGAAGGTACTCAGGGAGCTGATTACAGTAAGAGACTGGAACTGCAGCTGAAGATGAGGAAAGTACTATTATTGGGTGCAACACACCAGAATTTATATTTTCAAAGCAATATCTATTGGTATATTTTTTGCCAAATTTTTTCAAATATTCAATCTAAACAAGTTTAAAAAAAAAGATATCTTCAATATAATTGAAAAATAACATAGAAAATATATTTTGAACTGGCATCATAGCAATGTGAAACTGAAACATAAAAATGGTTAATTAAAATTATCACTTGAGATAAGAGGCATTTTGAGGTAAAACAACTAGAATTATGATCTGTGGAATTTCTTTAAACTGAAGTTTGTTCATGCTACTCCATTTCAGTTACTGAGAGATGGTCCCTGTTTTCAAATATTTATTAAGAGTGTCTCTGAAAAACCAACAGTATATGCACTGCATCATACTTTTCATTTAATAAATAGCAAGTAGAAAGAAGATCTTGAAAACAAAGAAAAAGTGCTTGCCTGTCCACCATACTGATTGCTTCCAGAATATGATGAACCCTGTAAAAAGAACGTGAAATTTTCATAAACAGTTTTCTAAATAGAATCTGTCATAAGAAAATCCTGGACCTAATATAAACAATACTCCTGACATTGATTAACTCGAAGAACTTTACACAGTTATTAATGCAGTGGCAAATGACTAGTTATCCACACATCACGTTAGTGGTTCAGGCAGTGAGATGAACCCTGTGAATGATTCTTCAGTAATTTTTCAAGGTAAGAAAGCTCCTATAATTACAAAGTAAGATCTTGGCTCTAGTTCATAGAAAGATGTAACTGAAATGTCAAGAGTGACTTAATAAGAGCCCCATACACTCTCTGGAATTATTGTCCTTATCTCTGTGACTAAACTGAACTCAATATTTGATGGGTTCTGGGCAAATATGGCAACTGAGCCATGTTTATTCCTGAGGAATAGTTCCTGAGAAACTAATCTGTGTAAATGTTAAGGACAAACTGCCTACCTGTCCACCAGCATAGTTGGCTCCTCCGAAAGAGCCCTGTGTTCAACAGAAATAGGAGTGTTTACTCTGTATTTAATTCAATGTCACATAGAAGAGAAACGAGACAATTTATTGACCAATTGCAATGATCAAGTCATTTACACTGATCACTACTATTCTTTTGATTAAACAGGTAAAGGATTTAGTTTTGATTCATTGTGATTTATATGTCAAATAATTTATGTTTATACATATAATATATATAAGTGATAATATATTATAAAATAATATATTTTCTATTTACATAAATTCTAATTTTTAGGTTATGTTTGACACTTTTGATTCCCAGAATTTGCATGGGTGTCATGAGTTGTATACTTGGGCATGTGGTTTTGCTTGATTATGTAATCAGGGAAAGAGAAGTAGTCATCTAAGCAATTTTGACTATACTGAGCAAACAGGTCACTGAACCATCTCTTGGAAGTAAATTAGCTTGATCTCAGTAAACCAGTGGAGTGGGGTTTTTTAGATGTTGTGGGGGCATTTGTTTGTTTGTTTTTAAAGTATTTACAAAAGTATAAGGAATATACTATTAGACAGAAAAAATGGAAATATATAACTTTTTAAATGCGTTGCTCTGCTCCAATCTGAAAGCATTTGGAGACATGATTTTAGATTTAAGTTTCACTAGTTGAATCATACTGTTAATAACCATCATAAGAGCAGCACTGTTTCACATACACGTCCAAAACCCAATGAAATATTTGGGAAACAGATTCTTAGAAAAGTCCCAGGCCTCTCTCACAAATTGAGTAGCCAGTTTTGAATACAGTACTACAGTTGCAAGTCACTTAATATTTTTGTCTTTAGCAGGTTCAAAATTGTTCATTTTAGCATAATGTGAAGAAAACTTCCATCATACATAGAATTTCACAGACAGAATTATTTCAAGAAATGTAGTTCCTTGGGAATTTTCCAGTATGTGTACATACTATGCAAAATATATAAAGACAAAGAATACTTACTGGACCTCCACCGGGGCACACACACCCACCCTGTACAAAACACAACCAAACTTACTTTCCTGGGTCTATGATTGGAATAGGACTCTGAATTCGTAAATCAAACTCACATTCTGCTAACTGTAAGCAAATGGACTATAAAATTTTGCTCATAGACTCCCCAAGCTCCATCTAAAAAGTAGTTTCTTTCTGCCTCCACTGCCCTTTTAAGGCTAGCTGTGCACTTACTCATCAATTTTTTAAATAGAATTTTCTAATTTCTCATTTAAAATTTACAGTAAAAACTCTCTAAAATGATGAGTAGCAGATTCTGAATAGTAATACAGATTTTATTTTTTTTCCCCTGAGGAGACCAGAGCACCTAGAATTTTCCCAGGGAAGTGGTCACAGCACGAAGCCTGCCAGAGTTCAAGAATCGTTTGGACAATGCCCTCAGGCACATGATGTGACTCTTGGGGTGTCCTGCGCAGGGCCAGGAGTTGGACTCGGTGGTCCCGATGCGTCCCTTTCAACTCACATATCCTATGATTCTGTAAATACATACAGTACTCTTTCATGCTACAGATGTTCCAGGAAACACTAAAGATGACTTCCAGTTGAGGCTTATTAGGTAGTTTCTACTCTGATAAAACTAAGTAAGAGGTGGTTAGCGGTTTACTATTCAGTGTTTCCCTTTTCACACTCAATCTGGATGAAATGTGTAAAGGGAAACAGTTCTCGTGAAGGAAAGCTACACAAAGCAGTTTGTGAGTGCGTGACACTAGCAGAGCTGAACAGCGCTGAGAAAGAACATACCTGTCCACCAGACTGTCTGACTCCTGAAGAAAAGCCCTGGAAAAAATGAATAACTAATTATTTCTGTGTTACTGAATAACATTCTCACTTGTTCTCTGTGGTCCTCAGTTTTTCAAATTGCTTCTGTTTAAACGTAACAACAAAAAATGGGCTTCTTGAACCATGATCTTTTAAAGAAGTGTTTCCATGCAGTCACACAGGCCCCTGTATCATTTGCTCATACCATGATCTGACATACTGGTCACACTTAGCAATCCTCACTCGGCCTGGCTTAAAGCCATTCTTTCTTAGAATGTTCCTTTTTTGCAAAAAATACAGGTCCATTTTCCTAATGTTTTTCTAACTGCAGGTACTATGAAAGTTAGAAAGTTAGAAAGTTAGAAGTTTTACCTGTCCACTGTACTGGCTGCTTCCTGAAGAAGCCATACCCTAAAGAAATGAGAAAGCATTCATATATATTGCACATTATTTAACTTATGACCTGTCACAGAAAAACATATTTTTATTTGTCTTCCATGAACTTAAGTGTCATAGGAATGCGAACACTTATTTATGGCCATACTGAAAGCCACTGGCCTTTACAGTGGCTGCTATTTAGACAGAACAATGAAGTTTGAATCAAAGTCAGCTTCAGGCAGGTGAGAGCAGTGCTGCTGCCCTGGATTGTGTGCTCACAGCAGCCTCGTATGTTTTACTTATGAGAGCGGGCTGACAAAACAGAAAGTCATATATTCATCTGTTCTGCCTAAACACTGTTTTGCTGTAAGATACGCCTTTACAAAGTATTCAATTTTTCACAAAAAAATGGAAAGATGAACAATGGAAAAAACAATCCATAAATAGAAAAACAATTCTCACCTGTCCTCCATAATGGCTGCCACCTGGGAAATATGGACCCTGAAGCAAAGGTGCCAATTATTTCTCAAATCAAAAAGCTTCTTTAAGAGCTTTTTTTAAGAAAGACTGTTTCCCTTCTCTTTCACACAATGAAAAATTACAGGAAGATAGACATTCAACCTATTGCTTTATTGTTCTGTGCAAATTAGGCAGTGCCCTTAACATATGAATCTTCCATAATATCGATCATGAGCTATTACGATGCATGTGTAGCTTTTTGAGACTATACTTGGACTGAAAGTCTCTTTCTCCTCTAATCCCCTAACCAATCAATCTGACAGTCAATGTTTTCTGAGCCCAAGGATGAGTTTGTTGGGGATGTCACTCCATATTAGTGGCTATACCTCTAGGCAGCACTAGGAACTCTATCCATCATCTTTCATTTCACAAGGGCATGGAACACCTCTCTTAGCAACTCCTGATCTTCTGCCCTGTTCCTCTTCTGAGTCATACTGCTTCTCTGACATCAACTTTGATATTGCATTTTGCCAAAGGAAGTGAGGTAGAGGAGGAATGAAATCTCCTTCCAGCCACTCCTTACTGTTAGAGCTAAGAAACCTTGACAGTAGCAGGGCAGGCTGGAGGGTAGAACTGCATTAATTGTTATACAACAGAAGCACCAGATCTACCTAGGTTTTGTACTGTTTCAGATAGATACCTGATCATATACTATCAGATCAACAGAGTTTACTCAAAAAGTTTTTCCAGTTAATATAAAAGTATCAAGTTTTGATGTGGGAACTGTGTGTTAGAATAAGAACTACACAGGAGGAGATTCTCACCTGTCCTCCATACTGGCTGCCTCCTGAAGAAGGTGAACCCTGAACAAAAAAGAATTTAATGATCTCTGTCTGTCATTCTAGCTCTTTGAACATGGTCCACATGAGGGAGAAGTATCCAGTTTCTTTCACTGCAGAACTGTGAGTGGATTGAACCACAAATGGGTACGAATCATCTGCATTTACTGTGACGCATCAGAAATTCCATCTTAAAAACTCTTCTGTGGCTTTGTACCACATACATTTATAACTACTATATACTTAGCAACAAATTAGATAAAACATGGGGGGAAAATCGCCAAAATAAAACACAATCTCCTTAAAATGTTCTTTTACCCAGAGACGTTTATGAAATGTCTCTGATGAAGTAGTAAACACCACAGGGGAAGAATTCTCACCTGTCCACCATATTGGCTGCCTCCTGAGGAAGGTGAACCCTGAAAAAAAAAAAGGAAACTGAAACTTTTTTACAAATTTTTGGTTAATTTCATGAAGTATTTATTTCAGAAATACATGACCTTCTGTCCTGCAAATTTCAGGAGTTGAGTCAACCATGTATTTCACATTCTATTTTTTCTTAGTCTTAAATAATGATCTTCATCTGAACTTGTTTTGTTTAATCACAGTGGCACCAGAACATTATGGAGAAAGATTTACTTGGAAGATTTTAGACTAAACTAAAGCTAAAATAGACAGCCAGGTAGACAATGAATAAACTGCAGCTTTGCATAGGTCAAAACTACAAGAGCAAGGACTACTGAATGCTTACTTGTCCACCATATTGGCTGCCTCCATAAGAAGATGGCCCCTGGAAAAATATTGAAAATTGGTTATTTCTGAATACCTAGTTCATAGAGCAGCAAAGAAATCTATATTTTGTTATTTCACTGTTTGTGCAATTATCCCAGAATAAATGGTATTTTTGTCTTCCTTATTACGACAGAATACAGACCACTGTAAATTTTCTTGAAATAATAAATTGAGATCTTCTATTAATATGAGTCAAATACTTATAAAACATATAAATATATTTTGATATAAAATATTAAAAGTAAGAGCTTACATGTCCTCCATACTGGCTAGCTCCTGAGGAATATGAATCCTGTAAAGAATACCAAATGAGTGAATTACCTGCAGTAGGATTTCCTTAAATCAAAACATGACTCTCCCAGGACAACAGGAGCAAGAGAGCAAGGTAAGAGTGAAGACAGGTGAGCAGAACTTTTATTATGCTTTAATGTTCAAGCCTTACAAGGTAAGTTGGAGAAATATCTGAGTTCCTAAGCAAGGGTGGAAGGCAAATATGTACTGCTTTGTTTGTGTGACTTGTTGGGAAGGTTAAAGTGGCTTTGTTTCCAGTTCTTTCTCTGCTCATTTCTGGAGAATGGAATTTCTTTATTTGGAAAGCTGAGTCCTGGGTCAAACCTAGCAGTAAAATATTGGCTACCCAACAGGCCTCTGAAAACCAAACAGCAAATTTACTGAAACCTCATACAACAAGAAGTTTCTTTAAAGAGGGGAAATTGGATTTGCTTTTCTTCATAATGGGATTAGGTCCACTAGTAATAAAAAATGCTACATTTTGATTAATGCTTTCTCCACACTTTTTTTTTTGTGAGCTTCATTATGCAAATTTCACACAAACAAGGGCACTATTTGCTAAAAAACCCCTTGTGTATAATTTTTAGGACATATCAAACTCAATGAATTTCATTTACTGAGCTTTTGCCCTTTATACACAGTTCCCATATAGAAACTGAATTTGAGTGAATGAATAACCATCATTTTCAGACATGAAAAATTGGCTCTCCTTTTGGAATGAGTGCTTACTTGGCTGTTGTACTGGCTGCCTCCAGAAGAAGATGAGTCCTGGGGAAAAAAAAATAACAAAGCAACCAGTTGATTTCTCCAAAAGAACTACTTCAAAGCAAAACTTCTTGAAGAATAGCAGTATATAAATTTATATTTTAAACCTTTTTGCTTGGGTTTAAAGTCCATTCAAAATGTAAAATCTAGCCCTCCCTACTCTGTAATAGGTCTAAAATTTAGTGTGTAATTGTATACCAGAATGGCTGCCTCCAGAGCCCTTTCAGAACAGAAATACTGGTTATTTCACTTCAAAGGATATGAATGAAGGATGGGCAGCTTGTTTGTTTAAAATCACCATACTGAAGAACTACATCCTTACAAAAAGTTTTAATATTAATTCTTCTAGGGTACTACAGACCTTTAGAGTAGTCTGAGATTCCACAAGATCTGCTAAGCTCATAAGCTGTTTTGTTTTTAGTACATAATGTGAAACATGTATCAGACATCATGAATCTTAACTGTGTAAAATGACTTTTCAATTGCCCTGTAAAGAAGATATTGAAGATGATAGTCTGAGGTAAACTGCAACATGTACTTGGGGGAGAACTAAGATCTACACTCAGTATGCAAAAGCTGCTCTCCCGTGCTGAGGTACTGGGTGTATCTATGCATTTAAGTACAGATCAGGAGTGTCCCTTTGAGACAGAAGTCCTGATAGTTCCCACTCACTGTAGTTTGTTTTTCTATCATGGGGTGGTCTCACAGTGAATTAACTGGATGCCATTCAGATTAAACTAAATTTTAAAATGCTCTCTAGGGGTACACTTAATGCATTCAGGTAGTAAATGGACTTCTGGCCCATGGGACCAGATCAGAGCAGACCATTCCTGAAATGTGTGTAGTATGGCCATCAGTTCCTCAGCACTGTTGCAGTTTGCAGCACTCGTTGATGTAGACACTCCACTATGTTCCCTCCTTTATGTACAATCCTCAGTTCCAAACTGCTGTCCAAAGACAGCCAAGTCAGTAAAAAAACAAAAAGAATCAGTCCCAATTGGAAGTTTCAAAGGAAACAAATACCAACAACAGTAATATGAAGGATGTAGAACACAGGTAGTTAAGAATATTTTCCTGAGTGTAGATACATACACTTTCCTCCTTCCTACAAGGGAGAACAAGACCAGTCCTATTTATCACGTAATATTAATTTTTGTATGGTACATTTTTGTAGCAGTGTCCAAGCCAGCTTTGTATCAGTCAGCAGTGTGGTACAACGTGGTACAATACCACAGAGTTCTCTGCTAGATGGAAAAAGACCCAAATGTTTTTCTTCCCTTTGGTGCAGCACATACAGAGCTCCCATGACATACATTATGACTTTCCAACACACAGTGAACAGAACTGGAGTGCTGTCAACAGATCTCTCCTGCAAAAATGTTCTTATCCCTATGAGAGGGCAAGCAACATTAGATGACAGATGTATGAATACTAACCTTTTTTGACAGTAAATTATCTACAAGGAATATAATCATGTAAATCCATATCCTTGGGGATATTTTTACAGAATTCCAAAGAAGCCAATGGAACTTGAAGTAAATATTTATGCTATTATGTACCTGCATTTTTGACAAACATTTTTCATTGAAAGACTTCTCTTTACATGAAAACTAGTTCAAAAGGAAAGTGAAGCTGAATGTTGCATGAATGTCCTGTGTGTATTTTTGATTGAAACTAAGGTATGTTATTTTCACAAATGTATGACTTTCATTAGGCACTGACTCTTTTAACCTCTCCAGCCAAAGGAGACAAAGCACACTTGAAAGCTGAAGAAGATTGCTTACATTTGCAGAGGCATCACTTCTGACTAAGGTAGGGGATCCACCCTGTATGGGGCAAAAATAAAGAAAAGAAAAATTAGCCTTTGTCTTTGATCATAAACTGGAAATGAAACAAAACCTTAAAATGCCTGTTCTACAGCATTTCAGAGGAAAAATATCACAGTCTGAAATTAATTTCACTTACACTTCACTTCCTTTTATCAATTTACCAAGATAACAAATAGTCTTTTTTTGGCCTGGAAGACTGTAAATCACAAAAAATATCATATTGTATCTAACTGTCATATTGTTTACCCTGGAGAAAAGCAGGGGCGGGGGGGACCTTATTGTTCTCTACAACTACCTGAAAGGAGGTTACAGTGAGGTGAAGGGTGGTGCCTTCTTTGGAGTAACAAGCAATAGAACAAGAGGAAATGGCCTCAAGTTGGTCCAGGGGAGGTTTAGATAGGATATTAGGAAACAAATTCTTCACTGAAAGGATTATAAAGCACTGAAACAGGCTGCTCAGGGAAGGGGTTGAGTCACCACAGCTGGATATATTTTAAAGATGTGTACATGTGGCACTTAGGGACGTGGTTTAGTGGTGGCCTTGGCAGTACTGAGTTAATGGACTCGAGGCATTTTCCGACTTAAATGATTTGATGATTCCATAATGCTGAATTCTTCATCTTGGCATAATGAGAAATAACCCCTACCATATCAGAAACATCTAAGTCACCAAAGGAACAATGAATATAAAATTAAGAGTACCTTCAAGTAAGTAAGTTAAAAATAAATAGGATCGCAGATAATTTTCCAGTTAAATAGTTTACTAAAGAAAATGTATAATGAAAAAGTAGCACTTACAGAACTTCCCCCAGAACAATCACATGCACCCTGTAAAGAGTACAGAAAGTATTTAAGATATCAGGAGCTCAGGACTGAAATGGACTCCAGAGACAACTCAAATTACTTCTACCATCCCAGGTGTGCAAACCATAAAGATACATTCTTAAATGCCCGACTTCTAGAAATGTATTTATTTCATCCTATGCAACTATTTCTGCACTTATTGCTCTGATGGAGCAACAAAATGCTAATTTTGTTATCTTCAAATTTTCTTATATACAGTCTTTACCTTAAAAACCTTACTCACCAGAAGGATGAATAAAAAAATTCTGAGTAGTGCTACAGAAAGCAATTTTTTTTCCTAGAGAGGCCAGAGCACCTGGAGTACATGCAGTACTATGTTCTGTTACAGATGATACAGAAAATAGGTGATTTCTACTCTGATAAAACTAACTGAGAGGTGGCCAGGAGTTCACCATTCACTGTCTCACTTTCCACATTCAGTCTACATGAGATGTGTAAGAAGAAAAATGTTTAGGACCAAAGCAGGTACAGAAGCTCAGATACAACTGTCAGCCAGTTACTACTGGCTACTCAGGCTTGCAGAATGTCCAAATGACATGGCAAAAGAAAATGTGTTGCTGAGGCTTTGGGCAAAAAGAACAGTGGTGAAGGAAAACAGTTCTGGTAAAGGAAAGATATGAAAAGATAATTGTGAGTGCCTGACACTAACACAGCTGAAGACTGTGGAGCAAGAAAATCATACCTGTCCACCAGGCTGGCTGCCTCCTGAAGAAGATGAACCCTGTAAATGTTATATTCTCATTTAAAATTTTTTCTTTAAATTTTGACATGTGCATTTGATTACAATGTGTTGTCTTTTACTCTTTTAACTACATTTGAAAAGATCTATCTGATTAAGAACGAAATTTTATCTATGGAAAGATTAATGAGGATAAAATAAACCACACAGTAACCTGGAAAGTTAGGTATTACCAATCTGGCAATACTTTCTGGAAATATGTACACTGGGGAGGAAAAAACCTCACAATAACAACAATGAAGAAAAATTTCCCACCTGCCCACCATACTGGCTGCTTCCAGATGACGATGAGTCCTGAAAAAAAAATTAAAATTGCTTACTTTTTGTTTTAAAAATACAAATTAAGACTAAATATTTACTACTTTATTTTTTCCTGATGTTAGAACATCAGTTAAGACAGGAATTGTATTTTGACCACTGTGATTACACTTGAACTTTATTACATAGAGATATATAATGATGAATGAATCAATCTTGTTCACAGATAAAAAAACTGCTGTAACAAAATATGAGGCATCAAACTTTTGTATAATAGATACTTCAGGACAAAAATACAAAGATTTAGTATTTACCTGTCCACTCGAGTAGCCACCACCTTGAGAAGATGATCCCTATAAAAAGCAGATGCAATTTATTTTTGTTTAAAATGGCTTCTGGAAAACAAGACTGATGCTGAAGATACACAATTATTAATTTTTTTTCCAAACAGCTTGCCATTTGATTTCACAAGACATGATGCCAGATGTCATGGGAAATTCTAGGAAATGAATGGCTTGGTACAGTTTACTCATTTGGATAACTTTAAATAGTAGAGTCATTTTGGAAGGGAACTGCAAATAATGAATAAAATAGATGCTTACATGTCCACCTGACTGGCTGCCTCCTGGGGAATAAAAATCCTGGAAAAATGTATTGAAATTACATGAAAAAACCAAAAACCAAAACCTGGAAAGATCAAGGTGGAAGCTAAACATTCCTTGCTTCTCCACCTTCCTTAATTTTCTCTTGTTCAAGAACAAAAATTAAAATCTGTCTTTCTGTATGAAACAGTACATGCCCCTTTATGACTATTGATAATTCCCCTTTTGGTGGAGATATTCTTTGGGATACAACAAATAAAGAATTATTATATCTCCAACAAAATAATTTCTCAGTCTGTGTTACTTAATCCTCATTAGAATAAATACAATGGGTGCCATGTAAAAATGGCAGAAAAATGGAAGGCCTCACATAGCACAACAAAGCAAAGGGTTGCACTTGAAATAAATGCTGCAAAAATCATGGTATTGAAGCCCTTTGCAGTCAAGCAATGATTTAAAAAGCACAGGAACCGGAACAAGTAAATTGTGATATCACGTTTGTGATGTGAGTTTGATATTTAAGGGCACACCTCAGCTTTGGTTGGGATTCCTAGCAGTACTTCGACTCTTTAGCCATATCCTCATTCCCTCTGTGCTTGAGGACTTTCTATCCCACACTGGAAGCTGCCACACCAGTTTCCACGCAGGATTTAGGTGTCTGGCAGTTGCCAAGCTCTGGGGCAGACACCCTGGCAATGCACAAGGAAGGAGTGCTTACCCGTTCACTCTGGCGGCTACCAGATGGTGAGGAGGAATCCTAAAAAACATTAGAATTGAATTATTGCAATGGCAAATATTCCTATTTTTTTCTGAGCAAGGGTGGAAGGCAAAGAAAAATACTGTTTGTTGGGAAGGTTAAAGATGTAGGCTGTAGGATAAGCAGCCCAAAAGTTCTTTCTGTGCTCATTTCTGGTGAATGGCATTTCCTTATTTTGAAAGGTGGATTCTGACATAGTGATATAAAGGAATGACATCACATTTCAATCTATTTTATTTCCTCCAGAATGTTACAGAGCAAAGCATCAGCATTCTAAAAGCTGTCTTGGTTCTTGTAGGACCTCAGTGGTACACAGCAATGTTTTTATACCTTACTTTCTTTCAGAGGGCTTTTTGGGCCCTCTGTAGTATCATATATTAGCTTTCCTGAATATCTGTAAGAAGATTTTGGTACAGAAACTACATTGAAACTAATGACCCAGTATACCTGTGGCTGAAGAGCACAGCTGAATTTATAATTATTTGCAGAGAACAATTTCCTACTAACCAGGACCAGACTTACTGAAAATCCATTTAAAGGACAATCAATTACTCAAGGTGGAGACTTTAAACTTGGAAAGTTTTATAAACAGCTTCAGCAGAATTAATAGGAAATATACTTTAGTCAGGAGAAAAGGCATCTTCTTAAACAGAAAAGCAGGCAGTTTTCACCACACTACACAAAACCAGACCATTTCTATGTAATATATAGATGAAGGAACTTGAATCTTATATGTCTGGTGTTGGAAAAACATAAATGTAGTGTGAATTGGGGATGGAAGGAGAGGGAAGTAGTCACATAATAATATTGCGTTTTGATGGAAACTGTGAAATAAAGAGTTTCCTTTGTAATTGCTACTTATAATAACCAAATAAAAATGTAGTATTGTTACAAGTCAGAACTGTTGTAACTGCAATTTTAATTTGCAAAGCCCTTATCATACATAGCACAATAGTATGACATAATTTAGATCTACATTTTCCATTCTCTGTAGAAAAAACATAATTTCAAAGAAGTTACTGTAGAAAATGATGAATGATTAGAATGTAATGTGAAGGAGTTCTTGGAGATAAGATTATGAGTTAAAGTAAACATCCATGTAAGCAAATAGATACTTTAAAAGGTAGTGAATTAAGATATTGATATAGTTGAGAAGAAATACTTACACTCTCATCAGTTGCACTGCCTCCTATGGAAGGCGAATCCTGTAAAATAATGAAAAAAACATTTACTTTCATATAAAAAGGACTCTCACATGTTCTAAATTGTGGAGAATATAAAATAAAAGAATAAAAATAACAAACCGCTTAGAATCTTCAATTTTACCTAAACCAGCGAATGTGCAAGAAAAGAAAAAAATATGTAACTTCACCTGTTGCTTAAACAGAAGAGGCTGGGAAAAAACCCTCCTTGCAAACATACGTTTTTATGCGGAAAAATTGTAGATAAAGTTCATTTGCAAAGTTAATAATTCTTTATATTCAGAAATCCCATTATCTATACTTTCAACAGGTTCTGCATAAGTAAAGTATGTAAAGTAAATGCACAAAATGTTTTCCTTTTGAATAAGCTAATGCATAAACAATACAGTAGTTAAAGCATTGAACAGTCACAGGGCACAGTTAGCGGGCTTACCTCCATTTGAGTTGTAAAAGGGTAAATTAAAGAGGACCAAAACATAAAATGGCATTTCTGTGGTCATGGTCACTTAAAAATAACTGAAACCTAGAACCCAGTGCACATAAGAACCAACAGAGCAAGCTTAAGCTTTTAGTGTAGGAGACAAATAACAATTACCTGGCCATAAGACTCGGCACCACTATATGCGGAAGATCCACCCTGTTCAGAAAACATAAATGATTCTCATACTGCAAACAGAATAATTCTCATATTGGGAATAGACTTTTTTTTTTTGGACACTAACTGTAGGGATCTCCTTCTGGGAAGATTTAAAAAGTATGATTATTTATCTAGTTATAAGAATGGCTCTTGAGCAACTCATAGTTATGTCCCTGTAAAACACTAATTTAACATATTTTTCAACTCAAATTCTAATTCCACTTTTGAAGAGACCTTCATCTTGCAGGTAATTAAAAGCTAGCATTGTTGACAAGAACAAACCTTAAAGGTTGGAGGCACCCCACTTTTTACTCCCTTATAAACTTTTAACTAAGTAGCCTGGAAGTATATACAAATTCACTCACTCCTCAAAGAAAAAGCCCACTTTCATTAAAATATAGCGAGAGCCAAAATACAGAATATAACTGTATATTTGACCCAGGGTATTTGCCCCCAACACCCTCTATTCAAAGAGGAAAAAAGAGTATTTACCTGACCATAGGTTTCACTGCTACCATCATAAACAGAAGACCCTCCCTGTAAAGAAAACAAAAAAAGTTGATTAATTTGGTTCCCTCAAGAAAGTGTTTTCCGTCTTTCAAACACAGAATAGGAATGAAAATAAAAGAACTCTTATCTCTGCAAACAAGAAAAAACACCTACCTGTCCGTAGGATCCGCCAGGATAGTAGGAAGGCCCTCCCTGCACAGAAAACACAGAAATTTACTGGTATGTAGTTGAACTGTTCTCTCAAGGAATACTTTTACACTGCTCTTAAGGAATACTTTCACGCTGCTCCTGTGAAGACACAGTGACCCCAATATTTACCTGGTTACCGGAGTAAGAACCGTGGGAAGAACCTGGGCCGCCCTAGGAGAAAAACACAGACCAGTTATTTTCTCACAGACAAGAGTTTAAATACCTGCCTATCCAGTTCTCTCTTTACATTCTTTCTCCCAATTTTGAGCTAATTTTTATGCACCTGAATAAAATTCAAGACCATTACTGGTAAACTAGAAGAAATCTTCTGGTGGCAACTTTCTCAGCCTGCTGAAATTTGTATTCTGCAAGGAAGCTGCAGATATCAGTCTGTACTGTTCTCTGTCAAACTTCACACCTCTAGCTTACAGCAGGGTCAAGTTTTCTGCTCTAAGGGACAACAGTCGGGTCTCTAATTATGGCATGTCATAGCACCCACAATACTGGGAGTAATGGAGCCAGGAGGATGGGAGTCTGTGTTATCCTGGTAAGGGAGGAAGAACTACTACCTGTCCATAGGATCCTCCAGGAGAGAAGAAAGGCCCTCCCTGTGCAGAAGACAGAATGGGTTACTGGTTTATATTTGGCTACTCCTTCAGGGGAAGGTTTGGATGGAGCTTCTGAATAGGGCATTTTATCTGAATGTTTACCTGGTTACCAGAATATGTGCTGTGTGGATAACCTGGGGCTCCCTGAAATGAAAACACAGACTAGCTATTTTCTTGCAAACAGGATGGTGTAAATACAAATGTCACCAACTCTCACTCTAGGACAATACTGGTAAACCAGAAGGAACTTTTTATCACTGATTTTCTTATTTGGATGAAAGATTCTCCCATGAAAGTTGTAAATACAATTTAGTCTTTTCTTCTGACAGATTTCATGTTGTAAATTAGAAACAGTTGATTCAATTTTTGAGTGTTATATTTCACAACAGCCACTATACAGGGAACATAAGAATGAAGACAAAAGAACTCTATTGCCTCTACAAGCAAGAAAGAACACCTACCTGTCCATAAGATCCGCCAGGATAGTAGGAAGGCCCTCCCTGCACAGAAAACACAGAAATTTACTGGTATGTAGTTGAACTGTTCTCTCAAGGAATACTTTTACACTGCTCTTAAGGAATACTTTCACGCTGCTCCTGTGAAGACACAGTGACCCCAATATTTACCTGGTTACCGGAGTAAGAACCGTGGGAAGAACCTGGGCCGCCCTAGGAGAAAAACACAGACCAGTTATTTTCTCACAGACAAGAGTTTAAATACCTGCCTATCCAGTTCTCTCTTTACATTCTTTCTCCCAATTCTGAGCTAATTTTTATGTACCTGAATAAAATTCAAGACCATTACTGGTAACTAGAAGAAATCTTCTGGTGGCAACTTTCTCAGCCTGCCGAAATTTGTATTCTGCAAGGAAGCTGCAGATATCAGTCTGTACTGTTCTCTGTCAAACTTCACACCTCTAGCTTACAGCAGGGTCAAGTTTTCTGCTCTAAGGGACAACAGTCAGGTCTCTAATTATGGCACCCACAATACTGGGAGTGATGGAGCCAGGAGGATGGGAGTCTGTGTTATCCTGGTAAGGGAGGAAGAACTACTACCTGTCCATAGGATCCTCCAGGAGAGAAGAAAGGCCCTCCCTGTGCAGAAGACAGAATGGGTTACTGGTTTATATTTGGCTACTCCTTCAGGGGAAGGTTTGGATGGAGCTTCTGAATAGGGCATTTTATCTGAATGTTTACCTGGTTACCAGAATATGTGCTGTATGAAGAACCTGGGGCTCCCTGAAATGAAAACACAGACTAGCTATTTTCTTGCAAGCAGACATTTACATAAGTGTGTCCATTCTGAATTTCTGTTCTTTCAAATAAAGCTTTTGAAGACAACATTACCGCAAGCATTAGAAGAGAATGCTGGGGGGGAGGTTGTTAGAGCTCAGGAAAACTTTAGCAGGTTCTGATTTTTTCTCTTCAGGTTAAAAGATCTGAAAGTAGTAGTAACATTTAATTTTACTCTTTCTAATCACAGAATCGTATGTCATACCTTGCAGACTCAGTTGTTAGAGATGATCATGATCTTTGTTAGAGATGATCATGATCTTGATGGTCTTTTTAAAAAATTGCCAGAACACTGAACTTCCAAAGTGTAAATAGTGTTTAGGAGAGCAGATTTTTCAGCTCACCACTTATGAGAGAAGACTATTTACCAGTCCATAGCATCCACTATTACTGTCACATCCCCTTCATATACAAAACAGGGAAAGTATTATTCTATGGTTAGACTGCTTCCTCCGAGCAGTAGACTAAGGTCTTGCCTTTACATGAAACTTAGAGAAAAAGCAGAATAATTGCAGTGTGAGACATTTGGGGATCCACATAAGGAAAACCATTTTTCTTTGAAACAAGATTGTTTAAATATGTGTAGCTTTGACTTTTAAGTTATAATATTTTCCAGGTTTGAAGAGACCTTTGTGTAACTCACAGCTTTGAAATTTAAAAGAAAATTTTTTGCAGGAATTTTCCTCCTGTGTTGAAGAATCTTCAAGTAAGTATATAACTCTTTTACGTAAGATTTATGAATGGTGGTTTATTCGTACATGTATATCTACTTATAGCTTGCTTTTTTTATTCAGAAGAATGTACCTGCCTATCACAGCTAATCTGTTTGCATGCTAATTTAAGGCACTGTAGCTGCCACATGTAGAGGGCCCTGGACAGAAAATGAAGATAGTTCTGTTTTTTAATTCAGTCTATTTCTTGCAAACATTGCTGGATTTTACTGTTGGGTGAAAGCAAAGATCAAGTCTATTGCTACCTAATTTATTGCAAATTAATTTGATCAGCTGATAAAATTGCAAACTGGAAAACAATCTCTTGTGAATCAAAGTGGACACATCTGCACTGATTTTCTACTGCATCCAATTTCGATGTCTTCTTTTCTTCATGTTGAAAATTTTTGTTGATAGCAACTAAACACATACACTCTCCTCTCCCCAACCAAGGTGTGGTGGATTCCTGTTAGAAACTAAGTCCTTTTTTGCAACAATTAAAGCATGTAAAGAAAAGGGCTCATTAGAATGAAAACTTGCACAAAGATGTCCACCTTTTTCCTTGTAAATGGATTTGTTGATATAGATTTACAATCACATGAAAAATAAAGGTTTTTCCTCAATTAAGTTTCAACAGTAGTTATTTTAAATAGACTAGTTTATATTTTAAAACATATAGGTCATGATTACTGCTCAGCCTCAATTAAGTGAAAGAGGTAGTATTCTACCTTACCAAAATAACTGCTCTTTATTTTAAGTTAATGAAGTTAAGTCCAGAAAGCAGTAATTTCTTTGTACTGTTAGTTTGTTTAAATAGCATGGGGGGTTTTTAATAGAAAGAATAATTCCTGTTGAAATTGAAAACTAAAAAAAAATATTACACCATTCAAATAGTTTTATGTAAATACAGCTTCAGTAAAAGGTTCAAAATAAGTATTCTGGTAGAAGAAAAGTGACTTTAAAATCCAAGTTCATCTGGCTTTGCCAGGCGAAGCCAGAAGCCTGGTAAAACTACTCTATAATGTCCAGGTAAGCACATTCCTTGGCCTTTTTCCCAGCACAGGGGCATTGCCTAAGAGAAAAGTTTATCCAGTGCAAGTGACAATGAAATTGCAGTGATTGTCTTTATGGGAGAGAACAGTTTAAATGCTGATTTAACAAATTAAATTTTGAAACATTTACAGATTTTGATGTTTTAGTCACAGTATTTTATTGCACCAGTTAGAAAGACAAGGAAACTAAACTGGATGCAATAAAATCGATTAAATTAAATTCTGTGGTTACTATGAGGCATAATGACTGTTTTTTGAAAGTAATGAATAATCAGCACATAACAGTCAAGTGACAGGGCATCTGGATCACCAAGCACAGGTACAGGAAGTTGGTGGCTGAATAGTAACTATGCAGCTTAAGTAAAGTGCAATTCATTCTTCCTTTCATTGTATGTATTTTATCCATACTAAGGAAATGAACATTAATGTTTAGTGTTAACCAAGTGTCCGTATTTACTAGGTGATTAATTCAAGATACTCCATTATGTAGATCGAAGTATAAACTCAGAAAAATAATTACCTGTCTATGACCACTGCTTCCATCAGGACAAATGCAACCACCCTATAAATTTTTTAAAAAGGAAACAATTATTGCTTTGTGGAAGTTTAAAATAAAATCTTATTTCAATGTGAAACTGTTTAGGGGAAGAAAGACTGTGGGATTACAGAGTAGCTGTGACCTTTCCTACACCTAGAACAAATGAGTTTAGCTCTGAATAGTTAACATTTGCTTTGAAAGTTGGACTGATAGTACATCACTTGGTGCTGTGTCTCAGGGACAGATGCTCAGCAAGACAGAAGTATCAAGTAGTCCAAGAGTTCAGAGAATTACTATTGTGCTCTCTCACCAATAAAACATACATGGAATTGAAACAGTGTTGAAAAGTGACTTCAGAGAGCCATTTCTGATAAATTTAATCTGAACAGTCACTTCATTTACAATTTAATGCATAACATGACCAATCCTCCATGCAAAGCTACTTCACTTGATTCCAGAATTTAATTAGTTTAATTACCAGAAAACAATCTGGACAAGACTAGTTAAAAATAAAGACAATCCTGACCTGATTACTTGATCCACCACTGGTTGCAATAAATGATCCACCCTTTAAAGAAAACAATTACATTTTATCAAAGCGTTTTATCAGAACTTGAAGTATAAAATTATGTAGTGAGAAGTAAGATGACAGACTCTTTCTACTACTTTCCTGCGTGAATAAGCACTATCTGTTGAATTATTGTGAAAACACAGATTTGGATGAAACCTAATTAATGACTTGATACCATACACAGGGAATGGGTATTAGGAAAACTAATTAAGAAAACAGTTATTTTCTGGAGCTTATAAATCTGACTGCACTATTGAATTAGATTGCAAACTCTCTTGAGACAGAGGACTATGCTAGTATTAAATCTGTGTAATGTGGCATGTAGCAGGATTCAGGATCTCTGGGAAGCTGATGCTTTAATAAAAACAGAATCAAGTGCCACTCTGGATCAGTTAAATTTCACAAAATTCTCTAACATTACACTGCTGCATCAGTACACGATCCTACAAAATATGAAAGTTGGTTGTACTATTGTAACAGAAGTACCTAACCCTTAAGATGTACCTACTTACCAAATTTAAAATGAAAAAATTATATATCTGGCCATTACCATCACTAGAGCAGGACTGTTTCTAAAAAAAAGATTCTAAACCTATTTTTTTTGTGTTTTGCAAATGACTTTTACAAAATGTTACGTAAAGAAACACTTGTGATGTTACCTGCTTAATGGAGAGAAGGAACAGAACAGACTGTATTCTGGGTCCATTTACAACTGCGCAAAGTTATAATATTATAGGGAAAACGCTGCCAATTCAAAATAGCATCCTTCAGCACAGAAGAATTAGTGGAACCTAAGTTTCAGGATGAATTATAATTTATCAGAAAGCTCCTTGCAATGATATCATGCACCTGACACTAGGTTATTACCTGGACGTCAGTGTGGCTGCTGTTTGAAGGAGAAGATGCATTCTGTGAAGAAATAAAAAATGACACATTTTTCAAGTAAGGGTAATATAGTGCTGTTGGGAGAGAACTACCTAACCCTAAACAGAATTCTCTGTTGTGGAAACTAGATCCTTCTTTTTGTATGTAATACAGCAAGGAGGTATAACACCAGGAGTAGTTCAGAAAAGGTGACAAGAATGGTTTACCTGTACATCATAGGCTCTTCTGCTTAAAGCATGTGACGTATCCTGTAAAAAACAGGAGTATATGCTATTAAGAGATTAAAATTCTCTGATCTGAGATAGACCTTCTTTTTTCCCCTCTGTATTTATTTAAAACAGCTCCACACCATTTATTATATACATTGAGTAGGAATGGCTTATTATAAAATAAAAGGTTTTTTTATTTTTATAGGCTACTGCTGAGTCTGACTTGAAGCTATACAATACACATACCTGTATCCCCTCCACAACCTGCTGAGCACAGTAAATTACCAAACATTATTCTTTTTTACTTCATTATTCTATCTCTTTTCAGCTAAAATTTTAGCTGTCCTTTGTATGATACTCATTTAATTTTAACTTTAGCTTGGACCAACTCTGTATGTGCTTAATGAAGAGCAGGAATTTAAGCTGCCCTCTACTTCAAAGCATGATTTGCATGTCTTTTTTTCATATATATATTTTCTTTAAAGAAATTCGTGCAAAGAGCAAATAGTTAAGTAATTTTATTTTAATTTTTCTTTAAGTAGAAGAATAATAATTAGGGCAACATATTTACAGAAAAATTAAGCATAATTAGGACAAGTTAGGGCTAAAATCCCACAAGCAGTCAAAAAATAAAAGAAAAAAAAGTTACTTACTCGGGCAACAAGAACTTTCTTCTTTGCACAACCAGAACCCTGTAAAGGAGCCAAAAGATTGTTACTACTCCAGGGGTGGAGTTATCTGCACTAAGTACTTTAGCAAAAATCTACTACTTGTCAAGGTCACATATTCTGGAAAAGGAAAGTGTCTGGAGATTTCATTTTAATATCATTAAGAGTCTTAAAAAGCATATTCCTTGTTTGTTTTCCCTTTATGGCTCTTTGGTCAGAAGTTCCTGGCTAGTGGAGTCTCCCTCAGCTAAACCATTATGGTTTGGAGAACAATATGTATAATTATTTTTTTATGGTTAAGGTTTTCTCGGTGTTTTTTTTGGTTTTGTTTTTGTTTGGTTGGTTGTTTTTTTTTTTTTTTTAGAATTCCCTATCCTTTGTTAAAACCAATACTAGCATCTTTTGTGAACCAAGGAGGAAGTGATGAGGCCCCTAAAAAAGGCTTGCTGCTGAAGGATTTTTTTTTTCAGAACCTTTTGCACTCAAGGTAAATACAAGCCAAAACAAAGGATGTTTCAGAAGACATCCTTTCTTCCTAGAATACATGTTTGGTGCAGTACTAAAGTAGTAGAGAGAAAAATAGGGAAAACAAAGAAGCAGTATAGTGTATGGCTGACAACTGAAGAGAAGGCAAGTAGCTGATGACAGGAGGTTACTCTAGATGGCAGTAAAACAAAAGGAGGCTGTGACGGATGAAAAAAGCTTTTCTATGAACTGAAAGAAGTAGGGAAAAATGTAATTTATTTACACAACAATATATTTGCTTGGTCACAATCTATCCATGTTAATCACAGCTTCTGCTTGTAAGACAGATGGAAAGTCTTGACAGAGAGAGTATTACCAGGGACAAATGTTACTTTACAACAACAGCATAAAAGAGAGTTTAAATTTGAACAAGTGAAAAAAGCTTGAGGTAAGCTACATGCCTCATGTACACAGGTGGTTAATTCCCAAAAAACTATGCAGTCAAAGTGCATATACTATGAAGAAAATGTATCAGTATATATTCTGTATTGTGAAGTTTTTAATAATTGTGCAACAACCTTGAGTACAGAGAAACAATTAACTTTTTGAAGGGTACTATAAAACAATCATACACTATAGTTAGAGGTCCATGGGTCTAATGTAGAAGTGTTCAGTTACTAACACTCTCATTAATCATAAGAACTTGAATACTACAGAAGAAACAAATTACTTACCCGACTCTTGGCACTGTAAGTAGTGTCATTCTGGAAAAGAATAAATTATTCCCTTTTTAAAGAATTATTTAAATCCAGTAAGCTTACAGAAAACTAATTTTTTCTGAAACAGCATATGGACATATTCCACTTGTTGCTCACGTTCTCCACAGCCTTGTCTAAATTACTTTGAAATCCTATAATTACAATCTGAAAAACATTTTAATAGCAACTTTAGATTGGTAGAAATGCAACATGAAAAGCAGTGGAATATCCATCACTTCTTCTTTCATTCATTGTATGTATTTCAATACTTTCTCTTAGATTTTCTTTTTTTTTTAAATTACTGTAAAATGTATCCTTAGCTTTTGGGGAAAATCTTCTGTTACTGCAAAGCCATTGAAATACTTTTATCCATATTTCATTTTATCAAGTTAAATGCATTTAAAAACACAAACCATATCTGTAACTACCTATATGACAACTTTCACCAAGAAAAATGCAGTTGCTGAAACAGCTATTCGTGTGGGAACTTGGCATTCTTTCTGGATCATTCTGCTCAAAAGACTGCATCTAGCAGTGTAATATTTTCTCATCTAAACAAAAAATGCTGTGATGAAAATAGAGAAAACACACTCACATCATCACAAGCATTGGGATTATCATCTGAGGAATATTGTGAATCCTAGAAAAACAGCAGATACCAGTTATTTCCTCACAAAATGGATTGTTAACAATACACTTTGATACTGTACTCTGCAAGACAGAAGAGATGCTCATGCAAAGGAAAAGCTGAGTTAAATTAAAGTAAGATCTGTATAAGAAAAAAAAAAAGAGCCAAATCCATAGCTGCAATAGTTGCTTACAGGGAATGTTCCAATCTTCAGTAAAGAAAAAAACACCCAAACACAACCCAAAACATGAAGAGCAGAGAAACAATTATGTTTTATTACATCCTTGAGAAAGATGATGCAGGGACTGCAAATAATGTGTAACAAAGAGAAAGAAAGAACTAATTACCTGATTATCATAATAGGTGTCTGAGGAGGATGATCCACCCTTTAAAACAAACAAACCAACCAAAATCAGGATGTAGAAACCTGATTTTGAGCAGACACTAAAGCTTATATGAAGCGATTTGTAAGTAGGGAAATAGAATATTACTTACTTGGCCACCACCATAGTTTTGTGAGTAGGATCCATCCTACAAAAAAATATAAACCCTACTTCAGAAGAAACTCTGATTTTCTTCAGAGGGTGTAAACCTGGAATAAACAATTGCCTAGGATTCCTTTGAACAAATACAACTTTCAAGATATCTGGATAACTTATCAAATATAAGAATTCTTACCAAGAGAAAATAAAGGTCTACCTACCTGGTTGCTACCATAATTTTGTGAGGATGATGATCCACTCTGCTAAGAAACAATAACAAAAAATAATTAGAATTAATATTACAATATTGCAGGTTGGATACCGATCAACTATCATGGAAGTAAAAGCTCATAAAACCCCAGTGGGAGACAATAATAATCTAGTACTTACTTGGCTACCACCATAGTTTTGTGAGTATGATCCATCCTGTGAAAACAAAACAGCAACAGTTAAAATTCTGGAGAACTTAATTTTATCAGAATGCACAGAGCTATCTTAGGTAGCTGAGTTCTTTCCATGTAAGTAGATTTTCAGGGCTGATAAAAAGTATGTTTGCAGGAAATGAGTTACAGGCTGGAGATGGGGAGACCCTGCAAGTGTCTATACCCTCATAAGGAAGAAAACTATACTCCGAATCAGAAATGTTTAAAAAGTTTTTACCAATGGATAAGAAAGAGTTACCTACCTGACTACCCTGTGATCCACCCTGTGATCCACCCTGTAAATCAGACAAAAATTATGCATGCTTTGGACACTTGCTGTTTGTATATGGAATATTTTTAATGAAAGTTATGATACTTGCTGAGGAAGAGTAAGAAGAAAAGGTAGATATGCAATATGGATATAATTTCTAATGTAGTAAGCATAGATTGCCAATAGTGCAAAGGTAAATATTATATGGGAAATATATGAAAAATTCCCCTGGTAGCATTATTACACAGAAAGCTGTGACCTGTGAGATACCAGGGCCTCGAGGAATAGGTTTTAAATAAAACACTCAGTATGTTTCAAGGTGCCCTCTTTAGAAGAGGAATGTAACTTCTCCAAGTGTAATCAGAAAAGACATTTTCAGAAGTATTAGTGACAAAAGTGCATAATAAGAACAGTGAAATCCTGAGCTATTGAAGTGAGTGGGATATTTGCTATTCACTAAAATTGGACTGAGGCTTCATTCAGAAGAGGTAAAGGAAAATGAAATAAAAAGTATTATCTTTCAATGTTCTAGCAGATTTTAGAACAAAATTTAAGCATCTTCTTTAGTCTTACAAAGGAATAGTTCCTCTTAACAAAGAAAAAATTGAAATACTATTATAAAATAATTACATATCTATTTAATATATTATTCTTTCAAGTTACAGTAATGTATTAAATACAGTGCATTGTATATACTATACCAAATTATATTAATATATTTTAGCAACATCTATGTTGTTTGTATATTTATAAATATAGTATATATTTATAAAACACTGTATTTGTTGATACAATTAATTTATCTCATTTTTCTATTCCTTGTGAAAACTCAGTAAGAATCAAAAGAAGTATCACAAATAAAAAAGAAATCATCTATTGCTGTTTTCTTACTAATTTTCAACATGACAGAGATTTCTTCTTTAAACATAGCTGACACCCTTTAGGATAGTGGTTTTTACAGTTCCAACATTGAAACTTGGAACAAATACACATGTACCTGTCTCTAGTTCCCTGCACAAACTGAATGAATTCTTAAGCCAGTTTGTTCCAGGAACCTCAAGTGGCAGTCCTAAAGTATTTTCTGACTTTTGACAGGAAAAGTCCGCAGAGAGGCTGGTGAGCTCCAGCCCTGATTTAAGTCGAGCCACTTAAGCAACTCTGCAGCAGAGGTCTTCTTTCCAGAATCTGGCCATCTGGCCTTAATGTCCTATAAAGTGAGGCATTTCACAGACATAATCCTAGGAAAAAGGGAGGAAAAAGACTCTAAAGCCTCTGTGATACTCCTGTGTACAGGAAGATGGTGAGTTCTAATCTCCTAACTGATAAGATTTGTGCTACATGAATCTGAAGTTGTTGCTAATTGAGTTAATGGCAAAACTAATTTTGGATGCGTCTTAAAATAAGAGGAGAAAGACCATTTACCTGGTGGCAGGGATTGCTATCATATGAAAAACCCTGTTAAAAAAATAAACAAAAAGGTAAATGCCCAAATCTTCATTTTTCTTTCTAAGTAATTTGCTTTCTTAAAATTTCTTCTGTGAGAATTAATGTAACAAAACTCACCACAAAACTTTACAGAGGATGAGTTTAATTTTATTTAATCCTTTAAATGTGTGGCTTTACCCTTTGTCACTCCCATACCCACATACTCACAAGCATCAAGACACATGCACACAGGTGATCAAAGGAGGAGCACTTGTGAACCACATGGAAAGAAAGATAGGCTGGCAGTTGATGTCTCTCTGTATCATCCTAGCTCCTCTTGGTTGGTAAAGATTAAATGTTGGCGGGGTTTTTTGGGATCAACTGTTACTGATGGGTGACTATCTTTTTCTGTGTGACCATTTATCTCAGTGTGATCATCCATCACTTGCTAAGTTCACCCACTATAGATGTTAGGCAAGGCTGCTGCTCAATGCATTTTATTTCCTGTTTTGGGTATATTTTGGCTACAGCCAGTCTTCCCGTTGGGATAACAGGATGAGAAACAGTACACAGAGAGAGTTCTACCCTGGCTGTCGCACTCCCATTATTACAGCACAGATAAGTCAAGAGCTGTGTCACCTGTGGCACAGCTTAGGTCGAAGGAACACATTTTTCAGTGTTTATCAGTTTGATTGCTGTTATCTGTGTCCACGTTGTATTGCTTCTTATGATGCTTTTCCATGCATTTCCATTCGTGCTTAACTTACACCAATCCTAATATTTCTGCTAAATATTTGTGAAAATCTGTATTTATACTTCTCTTTAATTCTTGTTGCTTTCCTCAGTATATTTATTTAACCATAGGTTTACTACATGACCTCATTCATGATCCGTTCACCTGGGATCTCATCACTGAAGACATTGTCTTTTCTGTTGTAGGCATACACAAGTTGAAATGGAACCAGGATGAAAACTACTAATTTGATTCCTGTTCCACAGGAGCCACTCTCTAATCCTATTTTTTTCTATAGAAAATAAATGGAGCAACATCCAAAAATTCCCAAGGAAAGATTTTATCTGTTTATTAAGTAGAAAGATTAATCACTTTTCCATCTTCACTGTGTAACTCTAAATGGGAGAAGCACTTCATACCGGTTACAGTGACAAACAATATCAGCCTTCCTTGATCTCTGTGCTAGATAAATCCATGTAACAATGAAAACAATTGATTGAAACTAGCAAACATTATAGAACTTGTTGAAAAATGTGTCACTACTGGAAAGAAAGCTGGGTCTAGTTTTCAAATAGTTTGGAGAAAAGGGAACTTACTTGTCCACAACCACTGCTGCCACTTGAAGAAGAAGATCCACCCTGCTTGGGAAAAAAAGAAGAGCAGCCTGTAATCCAAATACTCATTTTCATTCATTTTCTCCATTTCAAATACAGAACAAATTTTCAAGTGCTTTAGATGCCCGACTGCTTAAAAGGTCGGGCATCTACATCCCTCTACACCCAACTGTGAATTTTCTGGTAAAGTATTTGTGTACGTTGAAGACCATAGTGCATCAGAAAGCTGACACCTACATGCACTCTTCTCTACATGGGAAACAGCTGTTTTAGTGTGCCTATAACTGCCAGACTGATGAAAAAAATTCACAACTCTTATTTGTAATGGCTACTTACTATAGTATTTTAAGAAATAAACCACAGAATTCTCAATAGATATATGGGAACATCACATACATGCTGCATAATGACTGGTGACAGACTGACACTTACCTGTCCATAGGAACTACCACCTTGAGGCTGGTAGCCCTGCAGGAAAGGCAAGAGGTCATTTACAAACAGAGCTGTATACTCTTAGAAAAGATGCAACAGATTCATAGAATACCAGAGAGAAAAGCCCAGTTCCAGTAAAAGTTCCTCTGTTCTTTTTTGCTTCATGGTATTTCAGTGGTACAAACCAAATCAAGGATGACTCAGCAACACCAAGAAGGAAAAAGACCCAACCACACCCCAAAGTCCATTTACAAGACAGGCTCCTACAGAAAAGCTCAGTACATTTCAGCAAAAAAGCCTCACCTGGCCATAGGACTGGCTGCCTTGGGAACCCTTTGAAAGAAGAGAAGGTATTTATCACCTGGACAAAGAGGCTTCTTTAAAGAGCATAACGTTTCTGAAAATACAGCTGCACGTGGGGTTCTCAAAAAGCACAAAGGAGACAGAGCAGTATGCTGGCAGCTGGGCTGCAGATTGTCCTACTCTCAGCAAAAGGCATGATTCAAACTGAGGTGCAGACTGCCAAGGGAAATATCAGTCTCCAAAATCTGCCAGTCTTTCTGGTCATAGAGATATCAGTGAAGAACTTCCTACAGAATATTTAGTTTGCTCACCTGGCCATAGGAACTGCTGCTGCTGCCCGAGAAACTTGGCCCACCCTAAGACAAGGACATAATA